GTTGGTTCATCTGTCTCCCAGTGATGCTATCCCAAATCCAGGCCAAGATTGCCTCTTCTGAGCAAGCTGCAGTCTTCTCTGATCACAAAAATATAAAATCTTAATGTTTAGTAATCATTAATCTTGGCCTAATGCAAAGAGACTCTGTTCCAAACGTAATTGCAATGGGTCTAGCTTTATTTTGAGCTAAAATGCRTTTTGAGTAAGTTGCACATCAGCCAAATGTGCCTCAAAGCATAGAGGCTTTTTACTGATATTTTTACTGCATACACTTTCATTTGTGCCAGAGAAGATTTACCTGTCTGAAGGAGGGCAGGTAATTTTATAGGTCCATTTATCCTGTAGTTACCCTGGATGGACATCAATCATTGCCTTTTGCAAGGATGCTTTGGTAATTTAGAGATGTGCATTCAGAGCTGCAGTGGRAACTTTTCTTTTAAAGGCTCACCAAGTGCTGAGCAGAATCTTCAAGCAAGGCACCAAATTCTCAACCACTGGTAGGCATTAAAAAATCCCTTGAGCTTTTGGATGACCTCCTGCAGAAGGCAGGAGACAGTGTGACTCTGACCTTGATATATCACTGCATATATAAGGTATTTGGATCAGTATTTGACTTGAGCATTGTTTTTTCTCAGCTTAATATTTCAGCATTACTGATGCAGCATTATGAGCAAATGAGAAAAAAAAAATTGAGATGGAGTTTGACCTCAGGCATTATCAACAGAATAGCTGCATTTTTCTTTGTTTAATTTSATTTTGTTGGGGTTTCAGTCTTTTTTTGTCCAAAGACCAGCACAAAAACCTAGCTCAAAGCTCGCRCTGAAATTTCTGAAATGCTCTTTATAAAACAAACTTTTTTTTTTTAGGAATTGTAGCAATTCAGTCTTCCAGACAGAAGTAGACAGGTAGACAGTAAGCAGAGAATCAGAAAGTTTTCACAAAAACAGGCTCACACTGCTTTCACAGTGTCGTTCCTAGGAACTGACAATCTGTCACAGTCAAATTGAATCCACCAATYGAGTTGTGATGAAATAGTACGCATCCTTGCAAAAATGTGTGTAGAAGCTAAATAAATAAATCAGCTATGAGGAGAATTACACATATCTATAGCAAACAGTCTCTCAATGGCTGTTTCATACAGCTGTCAGCAGAAAACTTCCCAGTTCAGGAAGGCTTGAGCCCACTGATAGCCCAAAACTCCCAGAGAAAATCAATATKCTTTGCTATTGTCCCTTGGGAAGGCATCAAGCACTGGCAGCTGTGAGCAGAGATTCAGGTCTCACTGTACCTCTGGTGTAAACTCTTTCAGCCTTTCCTGGCTGCAGTGGGYTTGTGCCCCTTGCAGGGACAGGGTGGGGTGCTGTGGGTGGAACGCTTGGYACGTGGATTTACCTGTGCTGTGTTTGTCCCTTCAGGAAAAAAAAGTGCATTTGTGGGAACATGCCGTTTATCAAAGTAAAAAAAAAAAAAAAAACAAACTATTTCAAATGTCATTAATACTGGAAATAACATTTCATGCTTTCAGAGCTACCAGAACTCATTGCAGAAAGAAATTGCAGAATGCTCTTAAAGCTGGAGTGGTTATTTCTGCTCTGTGGAATCTGTGTTGGCTGCTCTCCTCTCAAAGGGGAATAACCACTGCGAGGTCTCCAGCACAGCAGTTCCCTGGGATGGCAGAATTGCAGGGCTCTGGCATGCTGGTGGGTCTGGGGCAGTCCCAACACCCAGCTTCTCCCTCTGAGCAGGGCCAGCACCAACACGAGATTGGGTCAACCGTGGCTTTGCCCCGGTGATCCGTGGAAACCTCTGAGAGTGGCAATTTGGATCTTGGCTAACAGTGTACTGGGAGAAGATGAAGTGTTAGCAGTAGAAATTACGTTAAAATTAAGCACTTGATTTGCTTTGCTYTTTTGGATGCTTCATTTTCACTGTRGAATAAAGAGTTGAAGCAAGAAACCAGTTTGGTATTTCACAAATCTGACCTAGCAGCAAACTTCACCAGAGGAGCACAGGGSCATGTTCCTTCACAGCTAATGTAATTGTCAGCTGTTTGCAATTGCTCCTCAGAAATGGAATATTTAAAATATTGCAGATTTTAATCGTTAAGAAATAATTAATTGAGTTTAATGTGATGCAAAGCCACAAAACATATTAAGTCAGAGCTTGTGCAGGACAAAAAAACAACCACGATGAATGTTAATCCAATCAATTTCTACGCAAACTTTAAATGAAGTGTCTCAGGTTTTGTTGCCAATGGCTCACAAATATTTACTTTAGATGGGAAATGAGCAGGAGATTCAATGACAATATGTGCTGCCTGCTGTATTTAGAAGTATTTGTTAATCTCAATAAAGTGTTTCATATCCTCATCATGTCAACCCTGGGTACAATGCACTTTTGCATCAGCAAAACATAAAATTTATAAACTCTCTGGAAATTTTGCAAATTTTGCTTGTTTTGCCAAATAGTTCTAACATATTTTTATTGCCATTGATTTCAGCCTAATAGAAAATCCTTTTCTTCAAAGATACTTAGTCTCAGAAAAGTTTTTCAGGGGACAAAGTACTGGATCTAGATATTTAACTTTTTATTAGTGGCAAAATGAAACAACTTTCTTAAAAACAACCAAGAAATCTTTCTGCCCATTGTTTTAGTGCACAGAAAATGAAAGTTTCAGTACAGTCAGTTTCCTGTGTATTTTTCTGAGACTCGTCAAGTACAAAGTCTAATTTTTCCTACACACACAGGGCACTAAACAAAAAAAAATCAAACAACACAATGTGCTACAAAGTCCAATTGATTCAAACCCACGTGAACTACAACAAAACCATACCTGTATTCTATCAAACAATTTCAGTAAATGAATTTGTATGCCTTAAAATATATATATACACATACACACACACACACACATACATATACATATATATATATATAAATCTAAGGAACATTTATTCCTGCCAGTCTTCCTGTAAAGTTTAGGCACCAGAGGAATTTGCAATTCAAATAGAAAAAACCCACAATACTAAAAACCAATACTATAGGAGGGGTAGTAAAATTCTGAATMGCAAAATTCAGATGTGCATTTTTTAAAATCCAGGCAGTTACTCCAAAGATTTTATCTCTATAGAGGACACACAAAGATGTTACTTAAGGAGGAAGAGTTTTAGAGATAGAAGCAATTTCAGCACAGTTTTCTAAAGGAAGCTTCCTCAAACCCTGTTCAAAAATAATCTTTTTTTTTTCTTTTTTTCTAGATACTTGGACATGCCAGAGAAACCACAATCAAATATGCTATTATTTATCTTATTTTTAATGGGTACAAAGTTAAGTCTTGCAACCTGCAAACTGAAACAGCACTGTTAYGTGCATTTTGGATTTCGGATAGATCTATAAATTCACACAAGTTGCAAATACACCTTTTCTCCCCCCTCTTTAGCCATTTCCAGGGATGTGGACTGACCGGAGAATGGCTCTGGGGATGCACAGAGGCCAGGACACACAGTCCCCTTTGTCAGGAACACGCGCAGGAAATTAAAACCATTTGAGTAAATAAGGATAATGCGATTCAGGCAATCTGTAAGTTAATTGCCAGCCGATTTACCAGGGATTTGTAACCTACCTTCCATGAAAAGAGCCCTGTGTGYTAATTGGGGACCGGGCAAGCGGAGCATGGTGCGTGCAGGCATTTACACGCCTGTGYGAGGGAGCACCGAGGATGGCAGCTSCTGCAAAATATTCTCATTTTTCACCTTTTTACTGGCTGTAATTTAAGTCTAGAAGCTTCCTCCACCCCCCAGTTTATAAAACATATTTTCATTGATTTCTTGCCTTCCCAACAAAAACCCATAAAAAGCGGGGAGAAGGCAGGCGAGCGTTTCATCGGGCTTTCCTTGGCTCTTGGAGAAAAACAGCTGCTGAATATAATCCCACGGCAATGACAATGAATTATGAATATTATCCAATGAATAATTATGAATATAATCCAATGACAATGACAATTCGTGGACGAGGAAGCACACCACTCCACCGAGYGACATGGGTCTCGGTGGAAGGGCTGAGCTGCTGCGGGCTCACTCACCAGCAGCGGGTCCGTGCGGCACAGGAGGCGGCGGGAGGGATGGATGCACGATCCCGGGAGAAGAGAGGAGCGTGGAGGCAAGGAGCCCAACCCCGACGGCTCGCTCAGCTGGCAGGGCAGGGCAGTGCCACCCGGATCATGGCATGTGTCTCAGAACGAGCAGCCCGCTGCCTTCCCGAGCTCCGTCACCCCGCCGAGTCTCCTCCCTCTGCCCGCACGCCGGGGAAGCCACGGGGCTTTGTGSGGAGGGCAGGGCCAGGGCGAGCCACGGCAGTGACCTTTTCTACTCTCAGCTGAACAAGTCGTAAASTGCACGGGCAGAGCCTCGCCGGGTGCTGCCCCAAGCCAGCCGGTGACAGTGGCACTGGAATGAAGGAGAGCATCTCGTCCTGCCCGATTCCCGCAGCCACGGACGGGCTGGCAGAGCTGGCGGCGGGCGATGGATGCCGGCACGGGAGGTCAGGTGAGGCTCAGCTGCCTGTGAAGTCTTCTCCCCCAGTGTCCTGGAGACAGGTATATTTTCCTTCTGTTCCAAACACCTGCAGCAATGCAAAGGCTTTTCTGAGCCCACCAGAGCGGTGCTTTCACGGGACAATATGTGGGCATGTCATCRAGGCTGTGGAAGGAACCGAGCTGTGCCAGCCTTTGTTATACAAGRTAGGGGCACTGGTCCCCGGCTGAGGTCACTGGACAGCACCAGCCACAGCGTTCCAGGAGCTGTGCTAACACTGGGAAYAGGATCAGTGACAGGCATGACATTTTTCCCATGTGTTCCCTGATGCAGTTTTGCTTTCCAAGACAGCTATAGCTTGTAATAACCCCAAAGATGAGGCTGTGCAAGCTCTGGGAGATGCTGAAGGAACTTCTTCAGTTCATTTGGCACCATCCCACATGAGGGGACTGCCAGAGCTTTGACAAATGCATGAGCATGTGGAGTCACAATCTTTCTCTTTGGCAAATGACATAGACGTGTAACAAATGACATGTTACAGATAGTTTCCAGTGAAAATCATAATTTCCATTTTCTTTTTTTTTTTTCCTAGCAAGACTCATCACTAATTATTGAACATCAAAGCTGCCTGTAAGAGTTCTCCTGGACCAAACACTACAGGGCCAGATTTTTTAGGTGTCTGTAACCTAGGTAAGTATATCATTGTTCATGAACCACACTCCTGAGGCTTTTGTTCTTTCCTTGATCAATAATTTCATAATAATTAATCCTCTACTGTGTTTAAATGAGACTTACAAGCAGCCAGCAGCTGGTGAAGATCATTCTGTAATCCCAGTGGCATTTGAGAAGGTGCRCACATGACAAATAGACACAGAGATACTGTTATCTCATTCAGGGAGCATATCTGCAGCCTGGGCAGGAAACATCAGCAGACAATTTGTAGTATCAGATCTGGGCTGTTCCCAGGCTGCTCGGACGCAGGACTCCAAGGTGTGCTAAGTAAGTTAYTGTATTGGGAGGAGCTGAAGGCAGAGAGACCCTGCAGAGAGACCTCGACAAGTTGGGGGGCTGGGAAATCACCAACCACAGGAAGTTTAAACAAAGACAAGTGCTGGGTTCTGCACCTGGGATGGAGCAGCCCTGGATGTGTGTGCAGACTGGGGAATGAGAGGCTGGAGAGCAGCGATGTGCAAAGGAACCTGGGGGTGCTGATCCATGGCAAGTTAAACATGAATCAGCTGTGCCCTGGCAGCCAGGAGGACCACCCTTGTTCTGGGGGGTGTCAGGCACAGCATCACCAGCCGGGCAAGGGAGGGGATTGTCCTGCTCTGCTCTGACCTGGGGCAGCCTCACCTCCAGTGCTGGGGCAGCTCTGGGTGCCGCAATGTCAGAAAATACGAAACTATTTAGAGAGTATCCAAAAGAGGGCAACGAGGATGGGGAAGGTTCTAGAAGGGCAGCCATACCAGGAGCAGCTGAGTGCATTTGGTCTGCTCTGCTCTGTCTGGAGAAGCCGGAGGGGAGACCTCACTGCAGTTACAGCTTCCTCACGAGGGGAAGAGGAGGGGCAGACACTGATCTCTGCTCTGTGGTGACAATGACAGGATACAAGGAAATGGCCTGAAGTTGTGTCAGGGGAGGTTTAGGTTGGATATTAGAAAAAAATTTCTTCACCCAGAGAGTGTTTGGGCCCTGGAACAGGCTCCCCAGGGAAGTAGTCACTGCACCAAACCTCACCAAGTTCAAGAAGCTTTTGGACATACTTCTGGGTGCATGGTATGGTTCTTGTGGCTGTCCTATGCTGGGCCAGGAGTGGAACTTGATGATCCTTCTTGGTCCCCTCCAACTCAGGATATTYTTCTGTGAATTAGGAAAAACCAGAGGACTTGCACAGGATACAGAGAGAGGCAGCTGTGGCTCTCAGCATGACTGGTGCTCATGCTTAAACTAAACAAACAACAACAAAAAAAAGAGATGAAAAACTGTGGTTATTTTCTTTGCACAGATATTTGTTCCACTGTTAAGAGCCAACATGATTTGGGGTTTTTTTTAACTGATTTTTTTTAATTGTGTATGTGTCAATTCACAGTTGTTCCTGTCTTTAGGAGTGGAGCAGACTGAAGGAAAGCCCCAGCTGATGCTTGCATTAGAGCCTGAAATACCGAGCAAAGGGAATTCAGCCTGTGTTTCTGCAGTTTTGGGAGCTGGCCAGGAGCAATTTAATTTCACTGGGAAGTTTTTTTTCTCCGAAACATGAATGAGTGAGTCTGAAGGGATTGTGTTATCAACTCTGATGGCTGCTGAGATGCGTAATGGTCTTGTAYAAGGATAGTGCAGAGCCATTCACATTCAAATTAGTAATAAAAGAAATTCACTATAGGAGCATGATCCCTGAGAGATAAGATTAGGAATCTCATTCAGGAGAGACAGTGCAGACTTTGGTACCTCATCAGCTTTGCTACTGCAGGGCTCCCAAGGCAATCAGGTGAACTCAGGCTTTGAAACCTGTGTCCTCACAAGTGAGTGCAAAACCCAGTCATAAATTCCACCCTAATAAATTTTTTTCTATCTTACTGTCTCCAAGGCCATGCCTGCCCCAGGTGCTTATTTGTCAGATAAGAATGCATGACAAGTGTTCATAATTTTTTCCTCATCTGTCTTTGGGCAAACCCTGGTGTATCACAGGTATTACTTCACGTTAGTAACTGATTAAACGCGGAGTTCAACCTTTCACACTTGTGTTTTGTGCTTGGTCAGATGTGAGGCACACCCACAACACGCAGCTGACCTTTGGTCACTCCCCAACRCATAAACCCTGAGATGTTACACACGCTGTAAGTGAGGTATCACCTTATCAGACAAYGCTTCCAAACAGCTTGCATGTGCTGTTTAAACATTAAATCTGGCAGAAGGTCACCASCAGCTGTCCATTAACCAAGACAAAAGGTGGAATCCGTGCAGCAGCCACACCAGCCAAGGTGAGGTGCTGGGCTGTGCCCCTTCTTTGTTTAGAGTTGAATGAGGCTCTGCACTTTCACCTCAGCACTGGGAGGCAAAGTTTAAAAACATAATAAAAGTGTATTACAAGAAGAAGAGCACATCTTGCATGAGTAATTGCCGCTGAAAGCCCCAAGGTGATGAACCTCAGGGAAGAGTGTGGAGGTTGAATCTAATGCTGCTCAATGTGATGCTCACCAGGAATTCTCCTGAGCTGCAGGTATCAGGCTGGCATGGTACTGTGCAGTCCTTCCAGCCTCTCCAATTCTCTCAGGAGTCCTTTTGGTCTGTCCCATTAGCTCTGAGAATAATGTGACATGCCTTTCTCCTGTAAGGCTTAACATTCCCACAGCAAATTATTTCAACCAAGTCCCAGTTAAATTGCTATGATATTAACATCATACATGTTACTTGAGTGGAAGGTTTCTCAGGMGCTCCTCTGCTGCTCAGAGTGAGCTGCATTTCACTGATATGTCCCATTTTCCTGAATTTAGGCTTAGAGCTGTAATCCTTCACAGCCCTGCTTTGTCTTACAGGTGTTTTGCTTCTACCTTACTCCTAAGGCCAAAGCCTGGCTTACTTGAGAATTAACCTACCTAGGAAATACCTAAGAGCTGYTTCCTCTCAGTGAACACAACAGACCCTTAAGCTGCTTCCTCCAACCCCTCTCCATGTCTGCAGACACATTTTCCTTCCCAGTTCTCTGACWTCTTGAAGACAGCAAGTCCCAGAGAGGGAACCAAAGCACCCCAGTGCAAAGCACTGCACCCTCTGTGAAATGTCCTGAACACAAAGGGCAAAGACAAATTCATAGATACCCTCAAGAGTTTTTACATCCATTCATTGCTGTTCTAACGTGTACCAGCCACTGAGGTGTTTACTTCTCACTGTAAAATTGCTGTGATCTTGTTCCAGCGCAGAAATGTCTTGTCCTGAGGGAATTGCCTGCTGGCAAACAGCAGCAGCAGGGCAGTGCTGAAGAGCTGTTCTCCCTCGTGTGCTGAGCTATGAAGCAGAGAAGCGAGTGGAGCTCTCAGCATCCTTCTTCCCCAGTGCCCTCTAGTGACTGACACTCGGCTCTCCCGGCTCAGCCGCGCAGATCCTGAAACGCAAATTCCTGAAACACAAAGCTGCTTAGGGCCAGGCCCGCGGGAAGAAAAGAAGTAATATTGAGTTTGTCCTTAGTGACAGTGCGGGATGTGAAACTTGGTGGTTTGGTTTACTTCCCTGTGCTTCATGCAGGCAGCAGCACCCCTGCTCTGTCCCAGGTGAAACAAAAACGAAGAAACAGCAAAAGTGCTTCCTGAAAACACAGAGGACCACTCTGGAAAAATAGATTAAGGCTGTTTCAGGAGGGGCTTGCATTAGCTGTGTTTTCACCACCATTCAGTACATCAACACTCACACTGCACAGACTTTGAAGAGAGAAGAGCTTCAGAGAGTGCCTGATGTGATGCTCAGGGTCATGCCTTGCTGCATCATCTCATGTCCCTGWGGGATCATTGCAGAKCTGGGRGTGTTCAGCCTGGAAAAAAAATRAGGCTCAGGACAGACGTTATTGCTCTTTAAAACCACCTGAAAGGAGTTCTTAAAGAGGTGGGGGTCAGTTTATTCTCCCAGGTCACTTTTAAGTGACAGGATGAGAGGAAATGAGAGGAAATGAGAGGAAATGGCCTCAAGTTGTSCCAGAGGAGTTTTAGATTCGATATTAGGAGAAATTTCCTCATGGAACACTTTCCATAGTCAGGCTTTGCAACAGGCTGCCCAGGAAAAYGGTGGAATCACCAKCCCTGGAAATGTTAACAAAATGTGTAGCTGTGGCACTTGGGAGATGGTTATCTGTACCTAAAAAAGGAGAGAACACCAGTCGGTCAGAGCTCCTGGGTGCACACCCCAGAGACCCTCAGGAGATGCCTGTCCCCTTCCCCATCCCCAAGAGGCTCCCCAAGAGTCACATCTCTCCCAGAAGAGCAGCCCAGGAAGGGAACCTTGTCACACCTCTGCTGAGCAGGGTGCATTGCACCCCCACTGTGTGCACAGGGATTAACACTGGGCTGTCCCCAGCACCCCACAGAACTGGGGTGCAGCTGGGTCAGACCACAACAGCTCTCGATGCACCTTCCCTGAACTCCCTTCCCAGCTCCCAGACCCCAAACACAAGGCACAAACCTCCTGGGAGGGACAAATGGCACTGACCCCTCTCTGGCGTTGTTTGCCCCCCACTCTGGGGCTGAGAGGGGCAGAACCAACCCAGCCATCCCTCAGAGGGGATCGAGGGATTATCCACCACCCACAGGGAGGTTTCCCTGGTTGTGCCGGGCTTCTCCCACCCTGGCCAGCAGGGAGAGACTCCCTTGACAGCACGGCTGGGTGTGGGGCTGTTTTTCGACACTCCGGGCACTCGCCCTGCTGTGCTGCCTGCAGCTCCTGTGTCCCCTGACMCTCCTTGGATGAGGTGACACGTGTKCCTCTCGCCGTGGGGCTGGCTGCTCCTGGCTCCTCGCTGCGCCTCCACAGGGCAAACAAGAGCCACAGGGCACGGGGATTGCTATGCCAGGGCTGGGCTCACTCCGATCGGGATCTGCTGACACGGAGTCGCCTCACATGGGGGTGCTGTGAGCCCGTCCATGTCCCTTGATGTCCCTGACACGTGCGGTCCATGCCGGTGGCGCTCAGCCCGACAGCTCCGGTGAGCTCAGGACAAATTGTGAAGGTGCCGAGTCCTGGCACGGGGAGCTGGAACAGCCTGCCGGGATCTCACGGGAGAAACCGGGAAACCTGCGGAAAAAACCAAGCTTGTCACGCCTCTTGGTGTRCGCCGGGAGGATGGAACGCCGGGAGCAAGTGGAGCAGCTGGAGCAAGTGGCCGAGCCGTGCGACAGCCGGGCAGGGACCGGGACACGGGMGGGTGCAGGAGCAGCACCAGCACGGCCAATGCCCCTCCCGGGGACTCCTGCCCCGCACCCAGACATTGGGATCCCAGGATCCCSAGCCAGCAGCTCCTCGGAGCCCGGGATCGGCTTGGATTGTGCAGCAGTGAGGAGCCGGGAGGTGTCGGGAGTGTCCTGAGTGCTCCAGGGACACGGGAAGGGCAGGTCCGGGAGGGGACTSGGGACAGTGACAGCCTTGCAGAGAGGGTTTCATAGGTAAGTGTGATCCTTAAAAAGTTGCCTAGACACGGTGGGATGCTCACCGAGATTTTGTAGCAGTTGGGTGAGGAGTATAAAGCTGGTGGGGGTGGAAGTTCCTGGAAGTGCCGCTGTGCCCAAAGGGGGCAGTGGGAAAGAGCCCAGAGGGCCGTGGGGTTCCGGGCGGGTCTGAGCCTGGGTGCTGGGTGCCCGGGGAGGGGAACAGAGCGCCTGGGACCTGAGAAACATCAATACTTCCAGAAGGCAGTAGCAGAGGGGTGACGGAGTTTGGGAGCTCCTTGCAGAATCCCCTCAGCTGCTGCTGGCTTGTGAGCCCTCGGGGAGCCACGGCCTCGGGCTGGAGGATGGTGCAGGGAGGCTGCTCTGTCCCAGAACCCCAGAGCAGAGTGTAAACCTTCTCCTTGCCCTACAAGCCCTAGGGGTGACCGCTTTGGGTTTGTTTGACTCGGTGATGTGGAGCGCCGGCAACAAGAGGCTTTTCCTTCCTGCCTGCTGCTGGCAGCTGTTTGGCAAGGGTCGTGCTGCTGACATCTCAGATAATTAATTTATATTTATAATAATGCAGGAGTGCCTGCAGGTAAGGGATCATAAGTATGTACTTGCTTTACCAGCCATTGTAATAACTTTTAATAAAGAARKMYAYRGA